GTATGTAAACCACGTGATAAAATATAACCCGCATATTCGTCGGATTAATTATACAGAGCGGGTACGGCATGACTAATTGGCGGCTGTAGTTCATTAGGCCGTGCCGTGGTTTAGCTTCCATTGATGTTATTGCAGTGACACTTATTCAAATTCTATGAATGATATACTAATTTCAATTTCATTTTCCACCAACTTGAACAAATATGACAGAAATATGACGCCGATAACTTCATCAAGTTTTATTATTCTAGCGCAGAATTATTGGTTGAAATCAATTACCCAAACTCAAGCAAATAGAATTCCAATTTCATACTGTCAATTACAGGAAATGGCCTAAAATATCGCTATGTTTGTTTCATATTTACATTTTATGGATAATATTTCTGGCGGCATCCACGTTTTAGTTTTATGGTTTACGTCGGCGGATGATGGGAACAAAAAAGACTCTTGACATTCAGTTGGTAATTAGGGGGTGTAATGTCATGGGATTTGAAAACCATTACGCGTCAACGAGAGATGTGCCTGTAATCTCAATTTGAAATCTCTACGTAAGAGGGGATGCAACATTACAGATATATTCCAGGTCTGTGATGGAACTTCTATTTCTTTACCTCAACAGTGGCTTTAGGCGACCACGACTAACGCATGCGTAACCAAACATAACTAATGACATGCTCTGCTCTGCATGAATAATTTCATCATAAATTCTTGACTTATTATCTCATATTGATGACGACATTTTACATATAACAATGTTAAGTCTGTATAATACTGAATTGTAGCCAGTTGTATCATATAATTCTCAAAAGGTGCACGTAATATGTACTGAAAACGCTTAGATCCAAGTTATACTGAATTGAATAAAATTAAAGGGCAGTTGTTGTCACAACGTTTGTGTTGATAAACATTGATTTTCACGTGATCCAATGCGCTTTTCTGATGAAATCACGAGTACGAGTTTTGTTTGATTCAGGCGCAACTTGCACAAACTATCGCCGGTGACTCGTTCAATACCTTCCAATCACCAAAAGCTTGATAATCTCTCAGATTGTACTCGTTGATCTACAAAACAGTCAAAGTCGCCACCTTTGTTTATATGATTTCCACATCTCGCGCATGCGTGGCGCGACGACCACCACTCTTTAAAACTCTGCTTTAAACGTCTTGAAAATAACAATTTGTAAGTAAATAACCAGTGGTAACTAAAACATTTAGTCCTCCAACAAATACACTATAAAAGAGTTTATGAAACTAAATGACTTAGCATTCCGGTTTCATCTCATAAATAAAAAAAAAGATCGATACATTTCTTGTTCATTGACCCTGAGTCGGTGCTTGTTTGTCTATTAGCCTTCAGAAATAAGTTAATTTGTTAGACTTGATAAAACGCTCACAATTCAATGATAATTTCGTTATTGTGACTTTCGATCTGAGAGAAACGACAATATTCACCAATTAAGGACAAGGGAAATGTTAGGCGCTTACTAATGGATTCACTATTCTGAAACCGGATTTGTGTATTGGCTTTAATCAATTCATGCCCTTTCTCGTAATTACTAAGCTACGCATGCCATATTAGCGAGGTCACGGGGCTATCGAGATATGCCATACACAAATCAAGCTCTAAATTGTTCATTTACCGCTAGCCATGCACCTGTCGTACTCCGTTATTAAATAGAGCAAGCCAATTATAATATTGAAACTATCTCGAAATTCAATACGTGTTTAAGCCTGGAAAGTGGTGTATCGTTTACTTTTTTCATTAAATGCTTGATGCATATCTATAATTAAATTGTATATGTAATTCGCAGCTTCAGAATCTATGGTAATAAAAAGTAATATTCAATGATGAACAGGTTTGGTCCGAAAATGTCTTTACCTGGTTTAAACCCCAATCAAATTCTCACAACAGTAGATATTACAATAAATGTAAAAAGGTATAATACAATTTATTGCAATTAATAATCTAACTCACAACTCGATCGGCAAATGCGCTCTCTATTACGCCACGTGGCACTGTCCCATACAGACAGCTTGACATAGCGTGTAATGAGTACGCACTTGTAATGACTAGATGGACAAGCATAATTCGAATATTCGACGTGATAACAAGTCAAATCAGTTATCACATCATATATTAACAAACCCGTATTTACTTGCTGCGGGTTTTTAGTCCAACTTTGAAACAATCATTCGATACCAAACATGATTATAGGCTTAAAGTCGAACATAACGCCGTCGTCTCTCTGTATAAAGTAAACATGGCTGTGTGTATGATCTACAATGGCTTCTCTAATGTTCTGTAATTAACCAAGGCTAAAACAGTCTAATGGGTAGAACATCTAATCGTCCGAAACGATGTACAAAAAAACATAACGTACATCGAAGTAAAAAAATATGAGTTATATCACTGAAAACTAATACATCACGTCCAAGTCCCATAGGGGCATTGTAACATCATGTAATATGATGTATCGTAATTGGGAATAGATCAGTTACTATTACGATTACACATATAAGATGATTCATCATGTCATGCTAGTTGACTGATGTTGACAGGACAGATAATTATCCTACACTCATTTACATTATAGTAAATGAACTGTGAAGTATAGGTTATAACAGGAAGTGATGTCACGGTATATTAGGTAAGCAGGTCGTTAGGGTATACATCATGCAGATAGAGCGTGCGATATACAAATGAACACAGTGGCAAAATAGACAAAATTAACCAATGAATATAAGGTCATGCATTCGGGTATAGTATATTAACATTATCGGTCCAATGTATCAGCGTTGAGTTTTTCATCGGATAGGAAGCACGACAAGGAAAATACTTGTTATCAATACTTGAATGCAAATAATTCGCGTTACTGAAACAAATATGACATTGCAGACAATTCGTTTTTTTTTCTAAAACTAAAAAAAACGGAATGTCACGTGGTTCACTATTGATTCGATAACTCCAAGGATGGAAAACAGCTTTGATTCAAGTACCGACGCGGAGAGTTATCTTATCATTTTCGCACAATGCAACTTTATATATAACTGAACATATTATATATAACTGAACATATTATATATAACTGAATTTAACAAAAGAAAAACAACACACTGCTCAGATTGACTATCCAGTATACATTGCTGTATATAGCTGCGATTGACTGCGTTACAATTCACTTCATTCATTCTAAAATAATGACAATGTATTCGATGTGTATTTCAGTTTATTGTTCATTTCAGGCAATTGATTATGGTCATATGCAAACTCGTGTTCACTTCCAATTGTTGAGAAGACAAAGCATCAAATACTATACAAACTGCCTGTAGTACTTTCACAAATACGACACACATATATACACTGTTATAACCAATCGTACTCATAATCATCGTAACAAACCGGAAAAATTATTTAAACGACAGAAAATTTAGTTTCAACTCATAATTGTTTGCTTTAAGCATTGATATTATAATGGAATTCCTGTAAATTCAATGGAGTCAGTGAGAGATAAGAAAGATGTCTGATAACTATATCTGTACACTTGCACTGACGAAAATCTACTCGACAAGTTTAAGAACCCGACAAAGCCTTTATCGTGTATACTGTAAAACACATTGAATTAGCTACATGCCATTTTAGTGAATTTGACTCATGAATTAACAAAATCCTTATTTAGCTAAAATGCCAACAATCTAATTGCGGGAGTATACTTTAGTCTATATTAGCGACATCTTGAATTAACGAAATTACAGGTTAGCTAAACTAGATAAAATGACATTTTACAGTATAATGTCATCATAGCATATGACATTGTTCAAATGTTAATTGTTCAAAATGAGGATATACATATATCTATAATGCAAACGGATCATTTAGAGTGTATACTGCATTTGATCATGGGACCCTCTGTTATGGCCGTAAGTTCAGTGTCATAATTATTTGCACCAGTAACCGCGGTATGTTTGTCCATGACACCAACATTTACAGTCAGTTCCCTTTAAAATTCACGAGGTCGAAGCCGCCTCATAGTTTTACAAAAAGCATTACATCTACAGTATGTGTTATTACTACAGTTGTATTTATGTGTATAGTGTAATCGCTACAGTTACCTGCACATAACTTGCAATGGATGTATTGCTACATAACTGTACATAACATGTAAACCGCTACTGCGAATCACATGTTGCACCTTGACTAGGGCTTTCAGCTTTAGACAACGTGTGAAGTTGACGGGGAGATGTACATCAATTATTTTAAAACCTCAAGTTGGTCAAGGATGAGGTTATATCGAATAACATGTAATAAATAATTACCAAGGCTTACCACTATAAATCATCAAGCACTGTGGGTAGAGCCTTTGATGACTGAAATATTTCGACATCAATTAAAATGGTCATTTTAATATCATGTGGTATGCAAATGGGGCTTAAATTATACTTTTTGCAATTAGATAAATAAACCTTAGTTGCTCCGTTTATATTGTGCATTGCATTGTGTGCTTGCTGTATCTTTAATTACGTCGTTTTCGTTATGGTATCAGTCATAAATTTAAACTCATGTGGCTAGGCTGAATTTTCTATTTTTATGAAAGGAAATTTCCATATTACGGAGCTCCTTGGATACAAAATATAGATGTTCTGGCTAAGCAATTGTTACTAAATGAACTACTAGTATGATATTTGTTT